GCGTGGTGCTTTTATTTTTCTATATAAATTTATAATTAAAGAAATAGCAGCACCAACACGCTTGATTGCTAATAATGATGTTTAAAACCCGAGACGGTGGTGAGGTGAAAAATAGGAAATTTTGAAGTCGAAAAAAAAAAGGCACAGAAGAAGGCGTCTTGATTGATTGATTTGAAGTGATTGATTGATTGATTGATTGATTAGAAGGTCCGGGTGTGTAGGATTGCTAGATTTTTGCATCACTACATCTGCAAGTTTTCTATTTTATCCGGGGATCGCTTTACGTAGTAAGTTCCTTGTTGGCTTCCTAATAAATGTCGGACTATCGGACGAAAGCGCTGGACAGCATACTAGTATCGTAGATCCTTATTGGAAACAATCCCAGCTGTGTTCAGTGTTAGGTGAATGAAAATATAAATAGATTCCTTTTCGCGAGATAGAGAGAGAGAAAGAGGTAGAAAGAGAGAAAGAAAGAGATAAATATTGAGAAAAAGTAAACATAAAATGAGGATGAAATATGTCAGGTATGGCACTACCAGCTATTCGTTCGTGATATCGGCGACTAGTATGGTTGTTTCTTCGCCTCTAGGGACAAAGGAACCCTGATCTGATACCGCGGTCCTGCTTTATATATATATATATTTTTTTTTTTTTATTGGCCTCCCCACATTCAGTGCACAATGCACCAGTCAGCTTTCTATAAAAGGTTACTACCAACTTGGATTAAACCAAATGCAGCTGCTACCTGAATATTTAATTTTAGAAGTATATTGGCGTCATGCCATTATCCTCTGTACATAAACTTCCCAAATCGACAATGTTATTATCAATGTTCTGCTGAGCACTTATCTTTCTGCTGCAAAGTAAGACAAAAAAAATATAACGCTTATTCAGAGGAATTGCTTGTGTGCAATTTATATCGAAATATACCTCCATAGTGTAGGTCAGTTATATATATAAAAAAAAATAATAATCATAGCGATGCTTCGGAAGGTGTTCACATCATCGCTCTAGACACACTGCAGTCTATCACCTTGATGAACACCACAATGTTTTTGTCACAAATTTAGACCTTTTCTGGATCAAATAATTCCAGTTTCACTAACTCAACATTGCGGTGAAACGCATGAAGGTCAGTCACCGCTGTTCAAAGCTCAAAACATGCTGTAAGTCTCAATAAATCTCCCCGTGAAATGTTTCAGTGTAAGGTGGAAACCTCCCACCTATAAACGTCTAGAGCCATGCGACGAGCATTTAAGTGAATAGAGGGGAGTAAGTTTGTACTTTATTAGCAAATGCAGGTGAACAAATAAAAGTGATGCATTCCTAGTTCACACCAAAAGTGTTAAAATCAGGCTTGCTTTAGGTTTGCACACAATTCGAGACGGGCGGCGGAGAAAAGCTCACCGGAAAAAAGCTCACCGGAGATAAGCTCACCGAAGAAAAGCTCAGTGCGAAACCGGTAGATGCGGAGAAAAGCTCACCGGCCTTTGAGCGGATGCGGAGAAAAGCTCACCGATCTTTTTAACTTAACGGATTGTGCGTCAAACGTGGCCATGTAACACAATTCGGACTCGTCACTTCATTAAAGATATGTCGTCTTTTTTGTAATATTCTTGAAGTTAATTGAGCATATTTACTAATTTCTCAGAAATTAGTAATCACCCATTCTGTATATTAATAAAGCTGCAAGTATAAAATTAGAACATCGTACACCGGTAAAAAAGACAACAATTTATTGACAGCTAACAGTGCGCCGTCGGTGGCTCTGTCAGATAAAGAGGTTTGTTCTTTGCGAGCTAATATAAGTTGCGGTATGTGAACCGTTTCAGCTCCAAATAATGTGTAGTGCCTCATAAATAAGTAGGTATTTGTTGATGTAAACAGTGTCGGCTACGCTGTTTTCTTTCTGTTAATTTCACTAACAAACCTTTAGTTGCGAGAACAGCTTCGTCCTCTCGTGTTTCTTGTATTCACTCCGTCGTCGTCGTTTGAGCGGTTTTCATCATGTATAACGTTTATCAACTCGCCCTAATCGCTACCCTTATAGAAGACTACTTCTTATATAGGTCACGAGTAACAACGGTGTCAGTGTGCCGCTCTGAAGGTCATGGGTGGCTCGCCGCAGAAGGGCACTATCACACAAAGGCAACATGTGGAAACACCAGCACGAACGGCTAGAAAACGTGCATGTCCGAGGAAGAAAAAAGCCTCGATATCCTATACTGACTGTTTTATCCTGTTTTCAAAGGTTAACAAAAGCTTCAAAGAAAATTTCAGGCAACGCGTTGCTGCGCATTCCCTTTCGGATTTTCGGCAGTTACAGTTTTGATTTTTAGATTTTTGGCAGACATTGTTAAGTTTTCGAACTTTTTCCTGTTCTTCAAGTTCATAAAGTTTTCAGTTAGGCTTTCGTTGCCTAGAGAGTAAGCCACAGAAAACACTCGCCCGCAATTACTAATTTGTGAGCGATATACAAAAAAAAAAAGTCATTTTCTTTTTTACAAAGATGACGAATTTTAATGATAATAAATTGATATATGTTACGAATGTTGCAACAGCCTCCATATAAAAAGAAGAAACAAAAAAATAGGTGAGCTTTTCTACGCATACGCTCAATTGCCGGTGAGCTTTTCTCCGCACCGCCAGTTTTGTGGTGAGCTTTTTTCCGGTGAGCTTTTCTCCGGTGAGCTATTCTCCGGTGAGCTTTTCTCCGGGATTCAATCGAGACAAGCTATCTAGAAATCGTCCCAACTTCATGCAGAAATTTTCCCCTTCATTGCTTTGCCCACATTGTTTTGTGTTCAGACGGGCGTTGGACTCCTGACGTGACAGGCAACCCGCCGCCTATTGTTCCTGCATTCCAAAGTGTCGGGAAAGAGTGCAAAAACAAATTGCGGCAACTCCGATTCGGCCTGCAGCGGCGTTTCCCATTCTCTGGAGATATCGCTCGCACGATGCCAGGGCGGGGAAGCCTCAAGAATGCTGCAAGAGGGGAGATAGCGGAGGCGAGGACAGCACTTTTCCGTCGTGTTTTTCTGCCATGGGCACCGATTTTGAGCGTTTGCTGAGCGCTAAGAAATACGTATCTGGTTTTATGAGACGGACGTGGTTACTACATAACCTGCCCATTAACTATTAACGACTCGAACGGCTTACCTCTCGAACTATTTATCGACACCAACTTTGTACAAGGTCTCGAACGTCTTGATGACTAGCTTGTTTGCTTTGTACATTGCTGCGCGTTCATCCTTTTCCCACGGGCTCTTATACTGTATCAACCTTCAGAGGTCATTTTAGGATAGGTCATTTTGCATTTTGTATTACTGCATGATAGCCCTGCGTGCTGCTTGATGGTTGCTGTTCTCCCCCTTATATATATTTATGTATATATATATATATATATAAAATTTTAATTGCCGTTTTATTTGTTTTTTGTGTTATGTGTGAATGCATATGTTGTACCCCACTCGTACTTAGGCCTTCAATGACCTGTAATATCCTCTAAATTAAAAAAAAAAAAAGTCTTGCGTAGCTGCGGGCATTGAAACAATGCCAGCGAACAGCCAATAACGAAGGTACAGCGTAAAATGATAAAGGATCTTGTGGCGCGAAGTGTGAATTAAAAATGACAAAACACAAACAAACAGACAAAACCCACACCTTTCAACCAGCGTTAGGTTTGTGTACAGTTGACCGACACGATTGTATATACGCTTATTTCATTGTCATAGCTTTGTTTTCTGAGCAATGTAGAAACAAGACGAGGCCTCGTTTTTTTTTACCTCTTACTGTTTTATTTGATACTCAAGAGGTACGGTTAAAAATTATTGTTAAGGTTGCTTGAATTCCGACAAGATGTCCCAGAAAGTTGTCGACATTTTCAGTTCTAATGCATGGAGCTTACTGTTGACCACTTTTTTGTTATAAATATTTAACCGCACATCAGGGGAATGTTTGCGTACTTTTTTACAGAGGTAAAGGACGGTGGATACTATGACCTTGACGTGTATCCAGCTCGCATACCGCCATATATGTGTATTGTACCATACAGGTATGACATTTCTTCCTCCTCTCACATGACGCCCTTCTTGTTATTCAAACTATCTCTAATACTAACACTAGGAATCTTTTTTCCCCTTTTCTCAGAATTCGGACTTATGGGGGTGTCTAGAAGCAACAAGACATATTTTAAGATGCAATCTCAAGAAAATGGGTTCCGACTCCTAATAGTGCACTAACTTGCTGGAATCAGGGTGGAAACTATGCACAAAAAAGGGAAACACTCAATGGAATAACAAGATATATAGTATTAGAGACGACAGCGAGACACGTTACAAAATCAATTATATCATAGACGTACACCCAGTTACTGCCTGTGGGCCTTTTACTTTCGTCTCGGTGATGACCTGTGGGGTCGCGCTCGGTCAATAAGAGAAATCAAAGCGAGAGTTCCGTCGCACTTCCTGAAACAACAGCTGCGGTTGCTTTCCCCCCCTCGTTTATTGCTTCCTTCGTTTCTGTTCCGCTTCTCTTCCAAACAGAAGCAGCAGCAAACAAACACGTGACAAGTCACGCGGCAGGAAATCCTTTTTTCGCGGGCTCCAATCTCATCGTTAACTCTTCTTCCTGTTGATCCGAATTCAAACCCAATGAACCACCGCCGCCCCATAAAATCTACGTACCCGTACTCCGAGGCCAATAAACGCGCACACTTGTCGTTGCTATCGATCGCTAGTAGCGAAGTGAGCGCGCGAAAAAAGCGCATGGCGACCGAACATACACACACACACACACGGGCCCTTGCCGCGCGAGCGACGTAGGCGGACGGGCAAACCCGCCGTCGTCTCCGTTTCCACGAGTCCAGACGGCATGAACGGGAAGGGCGCCAGAACGTCTCTCCGCCGTCTTCTTCGCAAAGCGCAATCCCTCGCTCTTTCTCTCTCGCACAAACAGCACACACGTGATAGGGAACGGAGGTACAACGCTCGTTTCGTCACAATTACGTAGCGGTCACAGCGCTCCACCACGCCGGTAGCACGTGTCGCGTGGCCTCCAAGGCAAGCCCCGGGGCTGCTCGAATCACCGGAGGGGAAGGGCGGCCGCGCCGGCAATCTCTTGAGCCTTCTCGATCACCCCCTCACTCACTCACACCTCACCCCAACCTGGCGTCCCGCTCTCTCGTGCCACGGGTGTGATAATCACGTTTGATTCGATGACGTCGCCACCCCCACACCACGATAATTGCCCAAGGTGTCTCCTCCCTCTGGCGCGATGCCCGTCAGGCATATTTAAGAAAGTCGGCCCGGCCCGCCGACAGCATACCGCCTCTGTTCTTCGACCCGCGTGCACTGCAAACTGGCTCCTTTCACCTGGACGCCGTTTCCCCCGAGACTCTGTGCGTTGTTTCTTCTGCACCGACTGCACTGCTCTGCCTTGCGCCTTAAGTGACGCCTTCGAGAGTGCACCGGGCTTCCAAGATCCGCTGTTGTTCGGTGAGAGTTCTTTACTATCTTGATTTGGATTTTTGGGTGCACGCTGAATGCTTCGAATGATTCGGTTTCTCTTCCAAGTGCGAGTATATATAGATGACTGCACGTGGTATCGTGCAATGGAAACGTTTTGGGAATCTATATAAGGCGACTTTTGTAATTTATGAGTGGACGTTTGCGCGTTTAACAGTTTCAGTAAATTTCAAGTTTCGAAAAAAAAAAGAAAGGAAGAAAAGATCACGTCTGGGAAAACGAAGCTGACAATATGCGTAGATTCCACCGACATAGCTTGGTATACCATGCTGATAGATGAAGTTCATCAGCTATTAGACCGTGATGTGGAGTCTTACCCTACCGGTGGACTCAGCATCTGGAGCTCGCGCAACTCTACAAATCCCGTTTGCACGAGCGCTCGTGCAGGGAAGGCATTCTACCGAGCTACGCTATCGTACATGCTCCTTTGATATAACTTCGTAAAATTGTTGGATGAAGCAGAACTCCAGTGCACAAAAGAGAATAAACTTTACCTCTCGAGCTCCTTTTATATCCTGAAATAAGTGTTTCCCAACAAGGATGCAACAAAATCAACCAGTGTGACGCGATCCATAAATGTATTTTATGACAAAGACAGTTAGTACGTGACGTGCGCCTCCTAATTGTTTTTATGCACCTTGGTAAAATATTTGTGTTTGGTCGCATAGAAAATTACCGCCCTTCAGCATCAAGAGGCGGACAAAGAAACAAATGTTGGCAAAGGGCTTCCCCACTCACCTCGCGTCCAAGCTCGGATATCTGTAGCCGGCTTTTGGCGGGATCCATTGTCTCTTTTATCAATGGGCTCAAGAAGGTCTACGTTCCAAAGGCGCACGAGATACGCCTCGCGAACCGGTCTCGTCTGGAGTCTCGTAGCATTTGAGTGCACCCCAACGTGCATGGTCAAAATGTACTAGTGCGCGTTAAACAGCTGTATGATCGGACGAAATACTTCGATGGCTACGTGTCCAGTATTCCCGTACGCCAAAACGCAAAAAAAAAGACGGTTAGTGCTTTATGTGCACTAAACAGAGTGAGCTTTATACTCGCGGAAAACATTCTGTTTCCCTTCAGAAATGAAGAGAGCGCGTGTTCAGCCTTGATGGGCGCTCAAGATGTGCGAGCGCACGTGCGTCCAAAGCTTCAACTGCATAGCGACAGACAGTTGTCTGCGAGTGTAGATAAATAAAGAGAAAGTTTTGGGGCCCCAATGCTCTAGCTCTTCCGAGGAGATTGAGGCGTCGCACTGCGCAGGCTCAAAAGTTATGCGCATGCGCGGCGCGACCTCCCAAGCTTTTGGGGGACCCAAAGGGTTAGGAACCTTCTATTCTGAAGCTCAAACAACACACCTTCGAACTCTTTAACACACCTTCGAACTCTCGCCTTGTTGACTAGAATAAGGGATGCGAGGAATCTCTGTCCCTTTATAAGCGGCGTGCAACGTTATGTTTCGCCGGCGTGCATGGGTTCTCGGTTTAAACTGTATGACGTAATATCTACTCTTCCGCTCGTTGTGGAAACATTTTGCTCCTGCGTTTGTTCAAAATAACAGCGAACAAAAGAAAAGGAAGTATGACTCTCTGAACACACCTGCTGGCTAGAATCAGGCTGCGCCGCACACAAAGGCACGTGAGAGCGCCGTGCCGCCTGCGGAGCTTTCGTTCTTCGTATCCGTTCATCATAAACACAGTGGTCACGTTTTTGTGACTCACAGGAATTTGGTCGGAACTGCTGTTGGATATGAGTAGTGCGTCGCATACAGCTTGCAAAATGCCGCGAGGAATAAACCTCCTTCGATATATCCACGTCGAGAGCCAGAAATTGGTGTTTTTCGCTTTTTTTTCAATTCCTTTTTGTGACAAGAAACGTAACTAATATTTTTTCGCCGCTTTCTTGCAGATATCTTGGCGAGCGGAAGCTGTGACGTGACAGCAACAAGTTGGCAGAATGATCGACATCACAATGGACAGATTGCACGACAATGGCATGTTTGCGATCCAGTCGTTACAAACAAGGTAACCACAACAGTCCTAATAATGTCAAACGTGTACTCAAAAACCATGCTACGGCTACATCTGGTCGGTTTACCACCCCGGAGTAGACAGTAGCTGATATTATTAAATATTTAATGTTTATGCACCGATAAAAATAAATAAACAGGGATGCTAAACACAAACTCATAACGTATGAACATTTCCCTTTCATAACATGAATGAAGCACTTCCGCTTAAATTGACTCAAAATCTGTGGACAACACACGCACACAGGTCCCAACATCGTGTGTATGTTGTTCATTTTGTTGTTCCTAAGTCTCGGGTTTTCACGTTGTTGAAAGTTCACCTTCTCGCCTGCGTGTGCTCTGTTATTTCTATGAAGAGGCGTGTTCATACTGCGCAATAACGACATATTCAATTGACGATGTCGCTTGTTTCAGGTTTCAACACCAGCACGGGTTTTTCTTCGCCATCTCCAACTTTGGGGACCCTCGCTATGCTTTCCTCATCTTCGCGCCTCTCATCTACTCCCTGGACTGGACTGTGGGCCGACGGCTGATGTGGGTCACGATCATCGCAGAATGGTCTAATCAAGTGCTTAAATGGTGGGTCGCTTTCCGGATTTCTTAATTATTTTTTTTTTTTACTTACGCAAAAATAAAAGAATTGTTCTTTGGTTAAGTAATTTGAATTCGCCAAAAAAGAATATCACAGACTACTTTGCCGATGCCTGTGACACGGACACACGTCTGAAGGCAAGCTTTGATGTACCGCAAAGATCCAATCTTCCCTGCGTCAATAGAGAGTCTTAGAATAGGTTGCACCAACGCTTTGGGTGCCAAAAGCAGATCGGGGCGTCGCACTGCGCAAGTGCAGACCTTCTGCACATGCCATATGCGACTCCGCAAGCTTCTTTGGGCACCCCGACGTCGGGACCCCCTATTCTAAACTCCCTAATTGGACGTGTTAGCGAAGAAAGTGGTAGCAAAAACGGTTAAGTGATAGTGGTGGCTGTTCCTTCGGCGCACTTCCCGACTCCAATAGACCGCTTAGTTTCTACGATTCACATAACAAGGCTGGTTTCTTGTAATGTGCGGCTTTGTTATGGTGTTACTTAATGCGGCTGTGTGAAATTGATGTTACTTAACTAACCCACATAAAATGGATCATGGATTTTTATAAAGGTGGGTGCGTCGTTGGATTAGGCCACTACAAAAATTATAAGACGCCTTTTTTTTTTAACCCCACGTAGAGAAAAACAGATATTCATGTTAGTTCTTCTACAGAAAAACAGAGGCAGACATGGCTCTTACAGCGATAAGCTTTTCTCTTCGAAGATTTAATTCGCTTAGAACTCGAATTTCTGCATTAACCGACCTTGAGTATAACGATGGGTGACTGACTTCTTTCAGGATGCTCCACGGAGAGCGGCCGTACTGGTGGGTGCACGAGACGGACGTGTACAACAGGACAGGTGCTGGCACTCCTGCCATCAAGCAGTACTCTCTCACGTGCGAGACAGGCCCCGGCAGTCCGTCCGGTCACGCCATGGTGTCCGCCGCTATTTGGTACATCATCATCGACTTCCTGCTGCGTCGCACCGGCGCCTTCGAGCAGCTGAGCAAGACCATGGTCTCGTCCTTCCACTGGGGCACCTACACCGTGTTGCTGTGCGTTGTCAGCCTGTCCCGAATCTACATAGCGGCCCACTTCCCTCACCAGTGCCTCATGGGCATGATAATCGGTAAGCATTGTGGACTCTTTGTAAAATGAACAACTTCTAAATACCCCCTTTATGATCTATATAGTCACAGCAGCGTGGCAACACTGAACTTTGCTCGTCATTCCAGGCAATCTTCCGCGGTATCGCTTTATCGCAAGCATACTATTTTGCAGAGGTTTAAATGCCAAGTATTTTACGCATTCTGGCTAGCCTCCCATTGATTGATAACCTTGTGAGCTTCGTCGATAAAGTTATCTGTACTGTAATTATTCTACAGCTATTCTAATAACCCAAAATGATGAGGATTCACAGGTTTTCATGACTCTTGTTCGTATGCTAAATAGCGTGAAGAAAAAAAGCTTCGAGACACAATGAAAAAGAAATTTCTGCAATTGTTCCCGTAGTTGCCAGAGAAGTGAGTACAAACTTTCATTTTTCTTCCATTAGGTTGCTGCTTGGCCAAGCTGATGTGCAAGATGGACACGGACAACGTAACGCGCCGGCAGTATGTGTTCATGTCCCTGGCCCTGTGCGCCAGTGCTATGTCCACCTACGGCGTCCTCCGCCTGATGGGTGTCGACCCCCTCTGGTCCGTCGACCGTGCCGTCAAGTGGTGCGCCAAGCAAGAGTACATCCACGTGGACACCACGCCCTTCTTCAGCATGATGCGCTACTGCGCCTTCCCTCTCGGCATGGGCCTGGCCATGACCTCCGGCTTGTACAAGAAAGTTATGGCCGTCGACTTCTCTTGGAAGATGCGCGTCGTGGCTGCCGTTCTCGCCGTCAGTGCAGGCAAGGCCTCCGAGTGGGTGGCTCTTCCGAAGACCAACGTGCCTGTCTTCTACGCGTCGGCGTTCATCTTCAACGCCCTCCTGGCGGCCACGATGTTCGGAGTCGTGCCCTGCATGGTCGCGTCTTTATCGGGGCGTCTCGGGAAAGTTAAATCCAACTAAGCCGGTTCCACGGGTGCTGGCGTAGTCATTCCTAACAAATTGTCTCTAGGCGCCTTAACAAATTGCTGTACATATGTTCCTATGTAAGATATGCTGTTTCATTGTACATACCTGTACAGATCTGACGCCTGTTGCGTTGCTGCAGGCTGATTGGCGTACTTTAGGGTCTAGAATCCGCCGAGCGTTTTCGTTTCATTTTGTAAATAGTCTCTTAAGTTACTAGTTTTCATTCATCAGATCCTCCTTTTCATCACGAACATCTTATAATAAATGGTGAAGTCACGTTCTTAGTGTGTCGTATTCCTTTATGTGGTTATAACTAATGTTGGCAGATCAAAAAGTTTTATTCCTCGTCTGGTACATTAAGCTGCAAGCGCTGATGAGCAACCTTTTCACACGGAAGCTTGAAGTGACTGTGTGATTTTTAGAGTTGTAGTTCATATTATAAGGTGCACTGTAAACTAGATAATTGATGACATTAAATAATAATAAAAAAAGTTTAAACCAATAAAGTTTTAACGCATTTACTCCACAGAGCGATGATGACAGCAGATATAGACCGTTTTACTGAAAGGGGGCGAGAGAGAAAAGAAGAAAGGGCTACCGGCGCTTTCCCTCTCGCTGGTTCGTTAGAGAAAGTTGAAGACCCGGATGAGAGGCTCCGCCGGTGTTGGGTGTCTGCAGTGCCCGAACTTCGTTCGCGCTTTCTTCTCTGTTTTAAACTCGCAAACTTAATTAGAGCCACAGGCTTCGATGGCAACCGTCCCCCGGTAATCGGGACACCATTGCTTAGTCGTAGGTTGCACGAATAACGACAGAAAGCGTCGAATAATGTCCGAGGACCTATGTAGCTTGCAAGGAATTCGGCAAGGCGAGAGTGGCTGCACCCCGGTCTCCGGCGGCAGTGGGCTGCGTCCTTAAACCGAAAAGACGCGTCCCCAACGCCACCCTCTCGTCTGTACTCGGAACATTTTGTGAATGGAGAGCGCACGTGCCGAACGCTGCACCGCCGATGAACACGGTGTAAACTCGCAAGATGCGTGCGAGTTTTCTTGTGATAATTGCTGTTTCAGCTTGTAAAAGCTTGTAACTGAATTATCTTAATATTGATATTTTCGAGTGGTGACAATGGCTCGATTTTATCATCTACAATATTTAGTTGAAGGCTCATTTCCGCCGCCGGATGTGGCTGGAAATTCTTAAAAAGTTAGTTTTATCGGTTTTTCTGAATGGCGATCTCCTGCGTGATACCAGGGAGCCGGCAAAAGCGCTCCTTGGAGTGCGGCTGGTGGGTCGTTTTCGTAGCTTGGGCACTTTGAAGCGCTGGATATTCGCTACAGGTTACGTCTCGTGCCGTTGCGATCTGCGTTTTCGAGCCCAGTGTGCACGTTTCTTTCTTCGAGTCATGGCATCCGCCAGTGCGGCGACGGGGGGAACAGCGGCAGCGAACGCGCCAGCGATAGAAATTGGAGGTGAGAACTAAAAATATTGCATCAAAAAGTGAAATGATTCGTGACTGATTTTAGGCTTTCTGCGGTTCGATATAAGTTTGTCTAGAATGTCTTCGTCGTCCATCCACAAGGATATAAAGAACACGGACACGCAAGATAAAAGCAGCGCATCAAAACGATCGGTGGCAGCTCCGGGAGTTTACAAAAGTTAATTCTGGTTCCCGTGTTGTGTATCGCTTGTTGATCACTAAAAACGGCGACGTTGAAATAGGCCCATTGCAAGCGAAAATTGATAAATGGTTCATCAGTGCCAGTCATGCGGAAAACGATGGAGCCTAGAAACATTGCAGCCGCACTCGCATCGCCGGATTTCATGCGAGCTACATAGGTCCTCGTGCACCCTATCACCGAGCAATGGTGTCCCGATGACCGGGGGGGGGGGGGGGGGGGGGGGGGACTGTCGTCATCGAAGCCCGTGGCTCTAATTCAGTTGGCGAGTTTAAAACAAAGAAGAAAGCGCGAACGAAGTTCGGGCAATGCATACAGCCAACACCGACGAAGCCTCTCATCATGGAGTTTCACTCTTTCTAACGACCCAGCGAGGGGGAAAGCACCGGTAGCCTTTTCCCTTTTTTTCTCTCGCTCTCGAAATGGCGCTACCCACAGCAAAATGGCGCTACCCACAGCCACCCTCAAAACAAGACGAAGCATAAGCGAAGTAAACGCTAATGGTTAGGCGACGAGGAGTTCTGCCGTTGGGGTTACAATCAGCGTGAACAACTGTTTACGATGACTGCAGGCCGCTAAAACCCACTCTTGTCACTCATTAAACTGAATAAACCAACTATTTAGGCAACACCCCCTCGCCTCCCCTCCTCCCCTCCTCCTCCTCCTCCCCCCCGCCTCTTTTGCGTTTTTATGATACGGTGTGCAAGTGCAGTTGCTATTCCTGGGTTTCGTGCTTCTGTATGCCTGCTACTTTCGAATCAGAGTTAAGAATTCATCAAGAAAACACCATCAAGTGCCAGCAATGGCATCAAATTGATCCGCAGTCCACCAAGACAAGGAGTAACCTTGACGAGTTTTTTGACGTCAGCGTGACGTTTTCAAAATGGCCACGCCCTTGATCAATATGCAACAGCCATGGTAGCAGACTATTAGCGCATCGCGGAGGAACAGTGGCCTGCAGTAATGAGGGTCTGGTTGGAGATTGTGGCACGTTCTTAACTTGTATCCATATGACTTTTGGAGATGGCAGCCATAGATGAAGAAAGAAGAGAGTGAAAGACGGCGGAGCGCGGGACACGGGTGCCCAAGCGGGCACGAGGGACTCGGGCAGTAAGTCGTTTGGCCGGAACCAGAAGGAGGACGGAATACTACCTACAGACCACGTTCGAAAACTATGAGATTAAACCACTTAATCACGCCTTGCGTTGTGCGACTTTCTTCGGTGATGAGCGGGGTATGGCCAGATAAGGCTGGGTAAAGCCATCGATCGACCCACGGACTTTAGATGAAAGTACGGGCTGTCGGTTCTGTTCTGTCTCATTCAATAACGGTGCCTTCGTCTACATTCTCGCCGTGCCCCATCTGCACGTTATTTTTCTTTATTTTGTGGCATGACCCTTTTTGATTCTTATTATTTCCAAGAGCTAGTGTTTAGAGTCTCATACGCAGAAGTAATTTGAGTATTGGGAGAGGAGGTCGAGCAGTCACCTTTATTTTTATATATGTATATTGTCAATCTCATCAATGGGGGACGACATGGCCAGTCTTACAAAGATGAGCCTATAGAGTTTGCTCGTCGCACTTAGTGTATCTAAGCGTTAATACGATGACTGATGAACGACTTAAGGCCTGTTCACACATATAGCGGAGCGCTTATGGCGAATTCCATTGGTCGTTTTGGAGCGCGCCGGGATCGACTTTTCTGGAGCGAGCCTATTTCACTGGGCGATCAGGATCGAGACCGACGTGTTTCACTGGTCGTTTTGGATTAGCTCCCGCTCCAGATCTCGATCTGGATCCGAGGAAAGTCGCTCCGACGATTTGGGGGGATTCAACCGGAAGCCAGCCGGGCCAGCCCTCGGCGCACACACGCTTCCTTTCTCGTGGGGCATCTCGCCTGATCTCGCCCATCTCGCCTCAGGAGAAGAAGAAGCACGTCGCGGGCTGGGCTCCTAGATTGTCTCGACATCAGAAGAATTCGTAATGGCCTCTTGCTTACCCCTTTAGTCGACAGCCGGTTCGTTTTTCAGGAAGGAGAAGAGAAGATATTTGCCGCGCTACGGGCATTCCGGCAATTTTTGCTAGAAGCGCCTGAGCCATTCCTGCCGCTCGTGCGTCGAACACGTACGTGTTAGCGCGGCGATTGCGAAAACGTCTTCGAAACGACCGCGGCGGCCGCGGAAAGGGGATTCCCGGGCAGTTGCATGACGGGAAGGCATCCGCTGATCCCGGAGCAGTGGTCATGTTTCACTTGTGATCCGTAGGCGGCGCGACCCCGTTCGGATCGTGTGCTCCAGTCCGGATCTGGTCAACTGATCCCGGTGCGCTCCAAAACGCCCATGGAATTCGCCATTAGTCAGCGCCAAGTGAGCGCTCGAAAGAGCGCTCATGTGGCGCTTCCTAGCGCGTGACTTAGTTCTATTATAACGCGCGATTAGCGCTTTAGTAGCGCCTTGTTAGCGCTTCAGTAGCGCCTTCTTAGCGCTTCTTGTACCGCTGTTACTGCTGCGGATTAGCGCGTGCACTGCGGTTCCGGTTCCTATGGTTAGGTGTGCATCAGAAGCACCATGGCATACATGTGGGACTCTGAAATAGAAGCGCGACAAATGCTGGTGCATACGAAATTTGTGCATATATGTGTGGACGGCTTAACTCCCAGAAGAGACTTCTGGGAGCGCGAAATCTTTCGCCTCCGAGATACCGACCGGTACCCGGCGAACCTTGTTCCCCGGCTGAGGAACCGAGACACAGAGCTCTTTCGAAGTTGATTATTTTTTTAACTGCGTGTCCTTGAAACTAGGGTCAAGCATGTCGAATAGAAAGCGATTGAGTCGTACCCAATCAACTAGTGGCTCAAAGTCCATATCTCTGAATCGTCTATACTCTGTTTCACCTTATGATGTACCGCACGAAAGGCTACAAGCCAAGCTCCTTGCTCTAGGGCACATCTCGGCGGCACAAGCTCTCGTGCGTCAAGAGCAGCTCCCAATGCTATGAGCTCGCGCTTCTAGCCTTCTCTGCGGTACGACATAAGGTGAAACGGAGTATACTCCACCGTTTGGTTGGAGAGTGGCTCTTTTACTTCCTCTTTTTTCCACCACCAAAAAAAAAAAAAAAAAAAAAAAAAAAAACATCGGAATTGCTGTGCACGTGATGTTCCGCAGCAGCAAGCACGGCATAAGGAGCGTGACAGCGCCTACACAGCGCTGCTAAAGCGCTAACCTAGAGCTGCTGAAGCGATGAAGGGGTATTCACACGAGGGAGAAATCCCCGGGATTTCTCCCCGGCACGCGCACCCCACGACGAAAACGTCAGGCTTTCCGATGTGCAAAAGCCTCGCGTTTTCATCTCGTGATGCGCTCGTGCCGGGGAGAAATCCCCGGGATTTCTCCCTCGTGTGAATACCCCTTAAAGCGCTAACCGAGTGCTAAGTCACGCGCAAGTCGGTGCCACCTGAGCGCTGTTTCTAGCGCTCATGAGGCACTAACTTAGCGCCCTTTGTATGTGTGAACCGACCTTAAAAGTCCAATTTCATCTTGCTATAATCATAAGATTCTCCCAAATTCGAGATTGACTTCACACTGCAAGTCAACAAAATACGACACTTAACA